ATTGCAGGAACACATGTGACGTTGAGCTGCTGTGAGCCACGGATCTGCTCTTCCCACCCACCCCCCCAACATCACCTTTTCTTCTCTCCCGTCTTTCTGTTCTGGCACTTCTGAAGTGTCTTAAGCAGATGCACGTGCATTTGCCATCTTCTCCATGAGGGGATGATGGTTAGCAAATCACTATAACTAGCAAGTAGTGTGTGAGGAGGTCCTAAAAATGATGTGCTGTCGGCCTAGAAGGACTTTGACAGGGTGGGTCACTGCCACCTTGTCCATGTGCCAGCTCTCAGGAGTCCCCAGCAGGGTTAGCTGGGAGCCACGAGTAATGAGGAAACCCTCACACCTGTTTGATTTAACAGATGTGGCTAGCCTTTGTTAGAGTCGTTATTAAGTTAGAATCTTTTTTTCCCCTAAGATCCAAGAGACATCAACGACCCAGAAAAAAGTAAAGCTTTTTGGAAGGTTTCTGGTTTGGGTTTTTTTTTCCCCCTCAGAGTCTGTTTGTTTAAAAAGTAGCTGTTGACTGAAATTTATTGTGGTAGATGCATGTGAAGAATAATAAGTAAGGCCAAAATGTGCAGATTCTTTTTCATAAAACTTCTTCTACCCCACTTTCTAAAAATAAAATTAAAGCCACTCTGCCCCTCCTTAATCACGTTGGATACGTTCTGGCAGTGCACGTGAGCTTCTTATTCATGTTTCTTTATTCTCCATGAGCCCAAGTCAGACTGCTCTCAAAAAGGCAAAACTCATGCTCATCTTTAGTTTTATGTTTATTGAAAACCTGAAGACCTGTAGTGTGTGTGCGCACCTTAGTTCACTCAGACCTTAGTTTTCAGTGTCGATTCATCATGGCACTCGGACCTTGAAAGTGCTTCTCATGACTAACCATCAGGTGTCATTCCCCCATGGCATTTGTCTGCTGTATTCTTATTTATGGTGATTCCTACTGGAGTCAAAGAGAATGCTAAGTGCTGTCCAAAACACACAAAATTCCAGTGTTGCTGTCATCACAGATGTCAGAAACAAGCTCCCGACCCATACGACTTGGTTGAATTTTTCTTCCTTTTTTTCTCTTTAATGGAAGTTCAAATTTATAAATACTACTGTACTACTCTTAAGACCTAATCTGAAATTTCACAGGAAGTCTTAACCCAGCAGTCCCAAGGACAGTTACATGGTGTCAGAATGCTGACATACTTTCAAAACAACTATTTTCAAAGAAATGAAAGGCTTAGAGTTTTCTAGCATGGTTGCTGTTCCCCCTATGGTTATCTGTCCGCCCATTCACCCCTGCTCAATCTGCAGCGACCTCCATGGAGGAAGTCAGCTCGTGTGTGTGTGTGTGTGTGTGTGTGTGTGTGTGTGTGTGAGTCCAGGACAGTTCTCCTTTGGGGGTTTCTGGAATGCAGTGTTCCTGCTGAGAGCTTTCTGTTCACCACTTCTGGGAGAATACGGGCATTGTGTTGAGCACGCAGAGGCTTTTATTCCTGGGCTCACATCACTGTCTAGGAACTACGAATATGATTGAGACTTGCTGCATAAGAAGAAACCCCTTTTCCTGGCTTGGTGGGTTCGACTCTCTCTATAATTTGGAACCTTAGGACACCAAGCCTTGCCCTGCTTTTAATTCTGTTAATTAAGTTAACAGAACTTGAGTGGCCATTTCTGCATCCCATCTCACATGAAGCTGTGACACAGGCTTTGTCTCCAGGTGAGGTGTTCGTCTGTCTCTGCTTTGTAGGCCTTTGCGAAACAGAAATCTAGGAGGGCTGTCGCCCCAGCTAGTCAATGTTTCTCACTGTATACCAGGGGACTGACTGAACTTTGATATGTAGAAATGGCTAATAACCAACTGACTTCCTGCATGGGTTTTGAAAAAGGGTGGGATGGGGTTGGGAACAGGGGGTGTGGATATTGAGTAAATTATTGAAATGCTGAACCCCATTGAATATCCTTTGTGTGACCCTGTTTGCCTAGCTGGGACTCAGGTACCTCACTCTCCTGGGAGCCCAGGCCAGTCTCCACCACACAGTGTCAGGGATTCTTTGCTTCTGCTGCAAAAGCCGTGTGAACTTTCCTGGCCAGTACTGGAAAGGGGAATGCTATTTATTTTTATATTGTGTATATTTTGTCGTGGTCTGCTGATTCCCTGTTTCACTGAGAGCGACACTTACCTCAATAGTTAGTTCGATACTGTGTGTTGGATAATTTTTTAAAAGAACTTTTTAAAAAGCTTTTTGATCCTCAGAGGTCTGTAGATTTATTTCCATATGAACTGGTTATTTTGTATAAAGTACATTCTTAAAATAGCAAGTCTCTGCTATGTGTGAGTTGTGTGTGTCCATGTGTCACTTTTATCATCAGAACAAAGGTTTGAACTAGGCCTCAGCACCACCACTTACAAAATGCTGGTCCTGCTCAACTGGCTTCATCAGGGTGGGTGGGTGGTGTCGGGGCAGGCAGGGGAGTGTGCCCTGTGCAGGTGATGGGGGTACATGCCCTGTGGAGAACCTCAGAACAGTACCAAAACCGATTGGCACTTCCAAACAACATCTGGGATAAAATACTCCCCAGCTGGCCTTACCAACACCCACCTCCTTGCACCCACTCCCAATACCACCCACATATTCCCAGCCCTTGGTACATACCTTTAACTCACTTGGGCTCCATACACCACTTTACTCTCCTTCCAAAATCTAGGATGGACTTGGGGTCCAGTAGGTAAAGAATTTGGCTTTTAATGAGGGGACACCAGGCAGTGGTAGCCTGGATCCATTACAAGTGGCCAGAAGTGGGAGCTATGAGGGACACCTGGGTAGCTCAGCAGTTGAGTGTCTGCCTTCAGCTCAGGTGGTGATCCTCGAGTCCCGGGATCAAGTTCTGCATCAGGCTCCCTGCATGGAGCCTGCTTCTCTCTCTGCCCGTGTCTCTGCGCCACCCCCTCTCTGTCTCTCATGAATGAATGAATAAATAAATAAATTTTCTTTAAAAGTGAGAGCTATGAGACTAGATAAGCATCTCCTACCTACCTGCCAATTTATTCAGTTTTTATTTCCATTTCCTAGGAGGGCTTTTGTTAAAGGAGAGAGGGAGACTAGGGGCACCCAGCTGGCTCAGTTGGGGAACATGTGTCTCATGTGTCTCCTGATGTTGGGGAGTTTGAGCTCCATCTCCGGTGTAGAGCTTACTTGAAGAAAAAAAAGCAGAAAGTAGCCATCTTATCAGTTGGCTGTAGTTCTAAGACACCAAAATTTCTGGCCTGCTTTATCCTTAATCAGCCTTGTAATATTCTGTAAAAATATTCTACCACAAATAATACTAATTTCCAGATCTGTGTTCACTCAGGTTTATCAGTTTCTAGGGCAGTGACAGATCCCTCCTGACCTCCCAACTGTGTGGTATTAGATTGTCCCTTTTTTAAAGATTTATTATAGGGAGAGAAAGAATCACCACCAGACCTCCCCTGAGCACAAAGCTCAATCTCACAACCCATGAGATCATGACTTGAGCCAAAATCACTAGTTGGATGCTTAACTGACTGAGCCACCCAGGCACCCCTAAATTGTCCCTATTGATATTATTATTGACTGATATGTTCTCAAGACTTCCATCTTGCTGTTTTAAAACTATGGTTCATCATTCTTCTGTAAGAAACATTTTTTGGGGCAGCCCGAGTGGCTCAGCGGTTTAGCGCCACCTTCAGCCCAGGATGTGATACTGGAGACCCCCGGGATCGAGTCCCACGTCAGGCTCCCTGCATGGAGCTTGCTTCTCTCCCTCTGCCTGTGTCTCTGCCTCTCTCTCTCTCATGAATAAATAAAATCTTAAACATTTTTTCTAAAAAATGTCAGTCACATGTTCTAGTTTAGTAGTTGCATTTCCATATAATATTTGAAATAAAAAAATTTTTGAATCAATTTTAAATTAAAATCATTAGTAAACCCCAGATTTGACAGGATACTGGTAAGATGGTGTTTCAGTGTCTCCTTTTGGGCTGGTGGGGCAAGGGCCGGTGGACTCTGCTCTGGCCTGGCTTCCTTGATTTTCCTGGCAGTTGTGACACCAGCATGGTCCGCATCAGCTCTATTCCCAGTGCATACTAGTATCACATCCTTAAAATGCATGAAAAAATTGATTTCTGACTTCTGGATTCCCAGCTGCAACCACTCCTATTGTGACATGAATTCCTCACTAAACAAAAACCAAATTTTTTTTACTATTTCAGCTAATTTTGTTATAGGAACTTAGTTCTTAGCTGAGTGCCCTTTAGGGTGTTCCCAGATTTATCTCCTTGGAACCAAAACAAAGTATCTTCCACAGATCGGTTGTGTTCCAAAACTTGGTACAGTGGACAGTGTTAATCCACTTCTATTTTTGGAACTATTATTTGACATTAACACTTGTTAAGCCCCATGGGTAACAGCTTACACAACAATCCCCCTACTCAGTGAGCCGCTTGCTTCAAATTGGAGCTTGAAAAGAAAGCTGGCAGGGTAAGATTTAGGGAAAAGGAAGGAAGTCACAAACTGTCAACGAGGATTAGTCTCAAGACTGTGGAACTTTGCTCTTTGACATTTGGAAACATCCGAAGTGCTTCTCTTATTAAACAGTAATGTCTTCTGTCTCTAAACCAATTCCTGTCATTGGGGAAGGAAAGGGATCTTAATTTTATAAACAAGTAGCTCTTCTAGGGATTCAGTTTTGCCATAAAATCAACATTCTCTGAGAGGTTTTAACAGAACTGAGAAAATAACCCAGGGTTGGACTCTTGGAGGTCGACCTTCAGCCTGTAATCTTCCTGGAGAGGTGAATGGCCTGTGTCATTAAATTGTTACACAAGGGTTGCTTTTGGAAGAAAAGCTACTGGACCTTCTCCGGGGGGTGGGGGGGTGTGCAGCTAGATTCTAGGCCAACTGGGAATGAGACAGAGCTCTTGAGTGTCCCCTCCCTCATTGGGTGTTCTGTAGATGAGCCTGTGGATCTGTTTCCCTGGCCTCCTGCTTTTCCCTGGGTTTTTTTAATGAACAATTGTGCATCTGTTCCAGTCCCCTCTCTGCTGCCAGTGCTCACTCCTAGTTTCCTTAGGCAGTTTTAGCAAAACCTTCAGTGTGAGATGGACTGTGAAGTACTAGCCAAGAAAGCAGCTGGAAAACCCCCAGATTTGGCTATTATGTGCTGGAATCCCAACCCCTTTCCGCTTCCATGACATGCATAGAAATTCAGATCCCCTTGAGAAGTCTTCAGGTTTGGAAAAGCACTACCTGCTTCTACAGTTTTGGATTTGAACCCCGTTCTGGACAACAAATGACAAGGAGTAGCTCTATTCTGTCCAGCTAACGCTAGATAGAATTTTTTAAAGCAGTGGAGTCAGTTCCTTGGATTGGATTCAAGGTTTTTGCTCTGGGGAGGAATTGAGTCTGCAGTAGGAAGGCAAAGATGTCCAAGCGAAGCCTGGCCTGTATGTGCCCCAAGAACAAAGATGAAGACTGATTAACTCGGACTCAAGTTCTGAGTAAGTATTAAATACCAGCTGTTTGCCTAGTTACTTTGCCTAATTACTAATAATGGCAAAGAGGAAAAAATAGCTTCCAATGCTCAGAGTTCATAGTAAGGAAAAACAATATAGAAAAATTTGACTAAAGTGTTAGAAAGAACATGTGTAAAGTAGTAGAAATCTATTTTTTTTATTCCCTCCCTGCAAGAAAGTGGGGTGTGTCAGCCTTGGTTGGGACAGACCTGGCTGTGCAGACCTGGCCCCTCATCAATTTGGGCCTGCAGTCTGCAGCCTCTTGCCATTCAGTGATCTCTTTGCCTGTTTTTTTCTGAATCCTTGATGCAGCTTGAGTCCCTATTTCCCCTTTCCCCCTGGTTCTGCTTCCACTAGGCAACACTCTAGGGATGAAGACAAAGCAAACTACCACTAGTCGTCCTGTCCTGTGTGGTACCGAGAGGACGTTTTACTAGAGATAGCCTAGGTCTGCAGAAACTGGAGCGTGCTTTGGGAGAGGCCATGGTCTGAGTCTTGACTATCTTCTTGTCGTCACATAACCTACTGTGCTGGTTCTGAGTGTAGTCTCTGGACCACCAGTATCACCAGGGAATTTGTTAGAAATGCAAATTCTGGCTCCGATGCCAGACCTACTGATGCAGACCGATGTGGGTGTCAGCAGTCTGTTGTAATAAGCCTTCCTGGTGGGTGTGATACAAGCTGAAGTTTGAGAACACTGACCTATGGGAATGGCCCTGGCATTTACACAGATGCTGTTGGCCACAGCTCATCTGAGCAGGCTGTTCGTTCAAACTGGATGCACATCCTTGCATTCTTATAAACTAAAACTCATCCCACACTCTGCTGGTTAACATGGATAAAGGTGAAGGATGTTTCTCTAATCCAAGCCTGGGGGAGGATCGCAGACCAAGAATGGCTGCAAAATTGAGAAAGTCTCTTGCTGCCCACCTTGCCCCATCCCAGTCCTGCCCTCTGAGACACCTTGCCTCTTCTCCCATGCTCCTCCATCAGACCTCACTCCAAGTTTCTGTATCTTCTCCCATCTTCTGCGTGTTGGGTGTTTGGGGAAGAGCAGTCCAAACTTAACCAACCATTGTGGCCATCCAGTCACATCAAGACCCTCCCTTCTGGGCAGCCCGGGTGGCTCAGCGGTTTAGTGCCGCCTTCGGCCCAGGGCCTGATCCTGGAGACCTGGGATCGAGTCCCACATCGGGCTCCCTGCATGGAGCCTGATTCTCCCTCTGCCTCTCTCTCTCTCTCTCTCTCTCTCTCTCTCTTAAAAAAAAAAAAAAGACCCTCCCTTCTGTTCAGCAAATCCTGTGTACTGCCTGTGACCTCTCCCACAGCTGCTGTTGTGACTTATTTAGCAAATTTTAGTGAGTTATGTTTGGCTTTGCAGTGCTCTAACCAATGGTTACCAATGTAAGCTGCTCATTTAGGATTTAAAAATCTGGGCTTTGGGGCACCCAGCTGGCTCAGTCAGTGGAGTATTCAACTCTTGATCTCTTGAGTTGTGAGTTCAAGCCCTAAGGTGTAGAGATTACTTAAAATCTTAAAAGAAGGGATCCCTGGGTGGCGCAGCGGTTTGGCGCCTGCCTTTGGCCCAGGGCGCGATCCTGGAGACCCGGGATCGAATCCCACGTCGGGCTCCCGGTGCGTGGAGCCTGCTTCTCCCTCTGCCTGTGTCTCTGCCTCTCTCTCTCTCTCTGTGACTATCATAAATAAATAAATTTAAAAAAAATTAAAAAAAGAAAGAAAACTAAAAAAAAGAAATCTTAAAAGAAGCAAGACAAAATAAGACACCTGGGCTTTAAAAAAAATCAGATGGGGCAGCCCTGGTGGCCCAGCGGTTTAGCGCCACCTTCAGCCCAGGGCGTGATCCTGGAGACCTGGGATCGAGTCCCACATCGGGCTCCCTGCATGGAGCCTGCTTCTCCCTCTACCTGTGTCTCTGCCTCTCTCTCTCTCTCTCTCTCTCTCTCTCTCTCTCTCATGAATGAATAAATAAAATCTTTAAAAATAAAAATAAATCAGATGCGTTAACACTACCCCAGAGACTTTTTCATTGGTCTGGGGTACAGCCTGAGCATCAGGATTTACAAAGCTTTCCTGGTAATTCTATTGCAGTCAACATTGTAAACCACTCTCTAAAACCAGTGGCTTGCAGACTTTAACAGCTGGAGAATCTTGTTAAGATCAGATCCTGGTTCACTGGGTCTGAACTGGGTCCTGAGATTCTGCTTGCTTAACAGGCTCATTGCTCTTTAAAGCAGTAAGGGGGGATACCTGGGTGGCTCAGGGGCTTAGCCGCTGACTTCGGACCAGGGTGTGATTCTGGAGTCCTGGGATCGAGTCTCACATCGGGCTTCCAGCATGGAGCCTGCTTTTCCCTCTGCCTGTGTCTCTGCCTCTCTCTCTCTGTCTCCCATGAACAAATAAATAAAATCTTTAAAAAAAAAAAATGAAAGCAGTAAGGTCTTAAACCCATCCTTGTATTCCAACGCTAATGATCTGACCTTGTTTTTGTTGTTGTTTTTTGTTTTGTTTTTAAGATTTTATTTACTTATTCATGAGAGACACAGAAAGGCAGAGAAACGGGCAGAGGGAGAAGCGGGTTCGATGCAGGGAGCCCGATCTGGAGTCTCCAGGATCAGGCCCTAGGCCAAAGGCAGCACTAAACCACTGAGCCACTCTGGCTGCCCCCTGACCTTGTTATTTAAAGAGGGAGGCCACCTTGCATGGTCCTCTAACTTTGTGCTTTTCCAGACCTTCATTTTTTTTACTTTCCTACCAGTAATGTCCCCTCACCAAAGGTGACTTTCCCTTGTGCTTTGCATTTACAGCCTCTCCTATGTGCATGCTGATCACATGGTATCAATTAGTCTCTCCTTTCTTCCCTACCTGTAAATGTTCCAGTTTCCTCATTTAAATATCACATATTTATCTCTCTTCATCCAGACTTTAAAGGTGTTTTTTTTTTTTTAAGAATTTATTTATTTGAGAGCACAAGTATGCAGAGCAACAGGCAGAGGGAGAAGAGAAGGAGAAGCAGGCTCCCCGCTGAGCAGAGCCCCAGTGTAGGCTCCATCCCAGAACCCCGGGATCATGACCCAGGCTGAAGGCTTAACTAACTGAGCCACCCAGGCACCCCTTAAGTTAATTTTTAATAATATTTGCACATGGGTCTCAAACTCAACCCCAAGATCAAGAGTGGCATGGTGTTCTGACTGAGCCATCTAGGGGCCCCATCCAAACTTTAGCATTTTTTTCTCTACTGCAATGTGGCTTCTTCCCCACCTTTCTAGAACTCATGACTTCCACAGAGCCTCTGCCAGACCCCTTTCACAGCCCTTGCATCCTCTGCCTGGCCTCTGACTGATAGTTGGATCAATCCTGACTTAGAACTGGTTCTCACGGGTGCTCACAGGGCCAGCCCTCGTGGTTACCTGCTCTCAATTCCCGTAGGTGTGCTCGCCTCCTTTCCCCTCCTCTCCTCTCCTCTTCATGTACCTTCTCTAGGTGATTGTTATCTTCACCTGCAACTTCAGTTGCCCCTCTATGCAGTCGACCTACATCTTCAATTCAGACTTTTTGCCATGCTCTGGTTACCCTTTCCAAAGTTTCTGCTGGACATGGACGCCATGTGGCCCTGTGGCCATTGTTCTATGATTTTTATTTGCCACTGTTTTAAATTTTTACCAAAATGGTTTTCAATTTTATTTCCTACATCTTATTTTTCACATCATTTCCCTCCAATGTCATCCATTTATGTTTAAATGTAATATACTAGCTTCATTGCTCATCTCTCTCTTCCTTTTTATCATGATAAAATACATACATACCATTTTAACCATTTTTTTAAAGATTTTATTTATGTATTAGAGAAAGATCACAAGCAGGGAGAACAGCAGAGGGAGACGGAGAAGGAGAAGCAGACTCCCCACCGAGCAGGGAACCTGATGTGGGGCTCGATCCCAGGACCCTGGGATCATGACCTCAGCCAAAGACAGATGCTTAACTGAGCCACCCAGGTGCCCCCACTCAGTTTGGGGTGGTGTGGGGTTTTTTTGTTTTTTGTTTAGATTTTATTTATTTGGGAATGGAATTTTTTTAGCCTCCAAAAGGAATAAAATTCTGCTACCTGTTACTTCAGTTGCATTAAGTACATTCATGTCATCGTGCAGCCGTTACTACTATCCATCTCCAGAAGTTTTTTATCTCATAGTGAAGCTTTGTACCCATTAAACTAACTCCCCTACCACCTTTCTCCCCCAACCCCTGATAACCACTTTTCTGAGTCTATGAATTTAACTATTCTAGGTATCTCAGGTAAGTGGAATCACACATCTGTACTTCTTTGACTGGTTTATTTCACTTAGCATGTTTTCAAGGTTCATCCATGTTGTGGCATGTAGCAGAATTTTATTCCTTTTGGAGGCTAAAGAACATTCTATTGTGTGTATATACCACATTTTGTTTACCCATTCATCCATTAAAGGACATTTGGATTGTTTCACTTTTTAGCTATTGTGAATAATGTTGCAATGGACATGAGTGTGCAGATATGTGTTTTAGGTACTGCTTTCAGTTCTGGGTATATACCCAAAAATGGAATTACTGGATCATATGGTAATTCTATTTTTTTTTAACAATTTGAGGAACTGCTATATCGATTTCCATAGCCACTGCCCCATTTTACATTCCCAGCAGCATGTACACATTGCTTCCTGTTTTGTGACTGCCACTTGAAACTCCACAGCCAGCCAAACCTTTCTTCCCTCTACTCTCCTTACTTACCCACTCCTGATGCTCCTAGTTGGGGTGATAATACATCTTTTCCTGCTGATCCATGTTTCATTTTTTTTAAAGATTTTATTTATTTATTCATGAGAGACACACAGACAGAGACACAGGCAGAGGGAGAAGCAGGCTCCATGCAGGGAGCCTGCCGTGGGACTCGATCCCGGGACTCCAGGATCATGCCCTGGGCAGAAGGCAGGCGCCAAACCCCTGAGCCACCCAGGGATCCCCTGATCCATGTTTCAGACAATATTTGTTCCTGGCATGTTTAACTGGCTGCCAAGCCCTATCGGTTCTTCACAGAAATCTCATATCCCCCTGCATGCAGGTTCTCATTTTATTTCTTGCCTGGCTTACTGTGATCTCTCAGCCTGTCCAAACCACTTGGTGTTGCCATAAACCTGAACTGTGCCCTGTGGGCCCCTCCTCCACATCCTGGATCAGCTTTCCATTGCCCACCAAAGGGAGAGGAATAGGTTCTCACATAGCGAACACTTATTATGTGCCAGACACTAAATGCTGAATGTACTAAATGTACTGAAAGCTCTACATCTAAGTATGAGTCTCATTTCCTAGATGAGGACACAGGCCCAGAGAAGTAATTTGCTTAAGGTCACTCAGCTAGTAAATAGTAAACTGGAATTCAAACCAGTTCAAAAGCGGGCTTACATCAAATCCCATTCTCGGGCATTGTGCTCTACTGCCCCATGGCAGTCCTATGAAGTGGATATTTCAATCCCCCTTTTTTTGTTATTGTTTTTTTAAGATTCTATTTATTCATGAAAGACACGGTGGTGGTGGGGGCAGAGACACAGGCAGAGGGAGAAGCAGGCTCCATGCAGGGAGCCTGATGTGGGACTCAATCCCAAGACTCCAGGATCATATCCTGGGCCGAAGGCAGAAACTTAACCACTGAGCCACCCAGGTACCCCTCAATCCCCCGTTTGATGAAGAAAGGCATTTAAATAACTTGCCTAAAGTGAGGTAGTTATTAACTTGGAAGCTGGAATTTGAACCTGGGTCTCTGACATCAAAGTCTGTCCTGTGCTAATTCATCTCTTCCAAATTCTTGGCTGGGAAAAAAAGTCCTCTACCTTTGGGACCCAACATGTTACCAGCTTTATTCTCCCCGCTACTGCCTCGTCCCTTCCCCCAAATTACACAATAGCCACTAAAGAGAAGCTGGAGTTCAATTCTACCTCTGCCCTCAGTGTTCAAGCCCAAAACCCATGACTACTTCCTGAACCCTTTCCAGCTCTATAAGCTGGAAGAGATCCTCTGCTGCAGCCGTGAGCTCACAGCTCTGCCAGAACATCTGTGAGTGCCATGAGTGTGCCCCATCCACACTGCAGCCTCCCGATGGCAGAGCACATGGTAGCCCACTCAACAGACAGAATCACTGCAACAGGCAATCCCTGTAGCTGGAAGAGACTGAATCTGAGAAGCAGATGTTACCTTCTGGCCCCAAAAGTCTGGCAGACATGTTTGCATTGCATTGATTTTCCAGGGTTTGTCCTCCTCCTGGACTTCCAGGTCGCTGAGTGGGTGGTGAACGTCCTGTCACCCTCGCCCTCAGGCTACTTTGAACAACGCCTTGGCAGCTTGAATTTTTGTCCCAGTCATACCACAACCAAGTAAACAGCCACCTGCGTGCCACCTGAGGAGGTAGGACTGGGCTTGGCTAGGCTGCACAGTGGCCTCATGGAGGCTCCATTCAAATCCAGTCTGCAGTGTGGGAGGTGGGAGAGAGGCTGGGGACCTGGCGTAGAGGAGGATGGATTCGTGACCACCTTCCCTCCCATCCTGCCCCAGGTGTAAGGGCTGTGTGGGCATGAAGAGAGAGGGCCCATAACAAAAGAGGATTGTAAACCAACCCTTCCTGCAACTCAGCAGTGATCTGGCCTGTCTTGGCATCCAGAGAAGGCGGGAGGTTCCTTACTAAAAGCAGGTAAGTGTCTTGTCTGCATCAAGCTTAGAGTTGGTAAGGAAAGATCGTCTAGCAAACAGTTGGGAAAGAGGTCAAAGCAGCCAGTGGGAAAGGGTCTCATTTCACTTGCTGCACACAGTAGGAAGGAGGTAGGCAGAAGGAAGTGGCCACTCCCTGATAATAGGATATCCCAGGCACGGCTAGTGTAAGGGGGCTCAGCCCTGAAGAACTCCCACCTGCCCTGCTAATTAGAGAAGGTGAAGAGAGAATGGTCCTCTTCCCTGAGTGTCTCAGTGTGAAGAAATGAGGGCAGCTGAAGAGAATGACAAGATTGACAGCAAAGTTAAAGGGGGTAATCACCCTCGTGGTTCATTGATTCCAACATCTCTTTTGAATGTCTCTGCACCAGGCTCCAGGGGTAAAACCCTAGGACTGTCTTGCCTCTTCCAGTAACTTCTTCTGATTGGGGGTGGAGTCCAGCAAACAAACCACTATAATACAAGGCGGAATGTGCTATATCTGGGTATTAAGTAGAATCACAGAAGAGGACTCATCGCCAAGATTTGAGAGTCTTAAGAAGGGCTTAGGGGAGGAAGCCCAAAAAACAATTTGTAATTCTTCAGGTAGAGATGAGGAAAGAGTGTCCTAGGCAACAGGACAGCATGTGCAAGCCTCGGACACAAGAGACTGTGATGTGTTCCAGGAAGTGAGAGTTCCCAGTGGCTGGCAGGGAGAGTATGTGAGGGAGTGATTTGGGAGACACGGTCAAGTAGGAAAGTCGGGTTCAGGCCAGGGCAAAGGGTTGGGAATCTGTCCTAAGAGTGGTGGGAAGTTAGCAATGCCCTTTAGATGGGAAAGTGGCAGACCGGTAGTTGGGCCCAGACTTGCCCTTCTGTTTACTTGGCCATGTTGGTAAAGCTTGGATTTGAGGGGAGGCAGAGTGAGGAGGCTGTCAGGTGCCCTAGACTGTAGGTGACGCCCATGCGATCCAGCAGCGGCTTGTTTGCCTGTAAGAGACTTAGGATAGCTTTTGTAAAATACAATAAAATTGAATCACTATGGGTGCCTGGGTGGCTCAGTTGGTTAAGTGTCTGCCTTCAGCTCAGATCATGATCCCGGAGTCCTGGGATCGCCCCGCATTGGGCTCCCTGCTCAGTGGTGAGCCTGCTTCTCCCTCTGCCTGCCACTCTGCCTACTTGCACTCTCTCTCTCTGTCAAATAAATAAGATTTAAAAAAAAAAGATTTTATTTATTTATTCATGAGAGACACACATAGAGAGAGAGAGAAAGAGGCAGAGACAGGCAGAGGGAGAAGCAGGCTCCATGCAGGGAGCCCGACATGGGACTCAATGTAAGTCCCATTTGAGGGACTTTGACTTTGAGTCATGGGACTCAAAGGTAAGATCTTTAAAAAGAAATCGTTTTCTGTGCTTTCCAAATTTTCTAATTTTTTTCTAGTACTTTCAATACTTTAAGAAGTAGAATAATGGTTCATTATTAACAACAACAACAACAACAACAAAACCAATCACTACCCAAGCATCTGTTAATTGGCTTTCTCCTAGGATGGGTGACAGTTTTGCCATTAGGCACAGTGCATCTGGACAAGACGGGTAGGTGGGCCAGCTGGGCACTGCCAGGTGGACTCCCTCCCGACCCCACCAGGACCTGTCTGCTCCTGGCTCTTTGCCCAAGATCATCCTTAGCCAGCTTCTTGTTTGCAAAACAGAGCTTGCAGTAGGGTGGGGAACAGGACACACCACCCCTTGTGTATACACACACATACACACATGCACTCAGGGCAGAGATGCTTCTGGAAATAGCCATCTAAGGGGTCCAAGAACTAGCCTGGTCCACTCACTGGCAAAATGGTGTCCTGCCTGCCAAGCAAGGGGTACCTCCCCCCTGACTTCCCAGAGTCTCTCCATCCTCTGGGCAGCTCCCTTTCCGAAAATTTCAGTTCCTCAGCGCCTCAGGTTTGAGGCCTCACCAGCTCCACAGTCGCCAAGTCCAGGTTCTTTTTTCTTTAAAAAGTTCTCTCCCAAGGATGCCTGGGTGGCTCAGAGGTTTAACATCTGCCTTAGGTTCAGGGCGTGATCCTCCAGTCTCACGTCAGGCTCCCCGCATGGAGCCTGCTTCTCCCTCAACCTGTGTCTCTGCTTCTCTCTGTGTCTCTCATGAATAAATAAATAAATAAAATATTTGTTAAAAAAAATATGGCAGTCCCCACCAGGTGAGTGGTGAGGGAGACAGGGGTGGCTCCTGGAAATGGGATAGTGAAGAGATCCAACAGTTGTACCACTGCATACCACCCTTTGATGCCTGAGGACATGCAAACACATAGCATTTCCTATACATCCAAATTTCCTTCTTTTTAAAAATTTTTCTCAATGTAACCTCTACCACCAACATAGGGCTTGAACTCAACAGCTCCAAGATCAAGAATTGAGTGCTTTACCGACTGAGTCAGCCAGGCAGCCCTAAGTTTCTTCTAATATGGTTCAATAATCACATGCCAAGTTATAAATGCATTTGTCTTCCCAATGTGCTAACTCAATGTCATGACCAGATATTGCATCCAGAGGCAATGACAGGGAGCCTCTGTTATCCAGATAAAGTTGTGGGGTTTTTTGTTTTTGCTTTTTTTTTTTTTAATTTATGACAGTCACAGAGAGAGAGAGAGAGAGAGAGAGAGAGAGAGAGAGAGACATAGGCATAGAGGGAGAAGCAGGCTCCATGCACCGGGAGCCCGACGTGGGATTCGATCCCAGGTCTCCAGGATCGCGCCCTGGGCCAAAGGCAGGCGCCAAACCGCTGTGCCACCCAGGGATCCCTGTTTTTGCTTTTTTATATATATTCAGCCCTTACCCTCCTTGGTCCCAAAGAGTTCCAGGTGCAGATACTCATAATTCTGTGTATCAGTGCTTAAAGAATTAGTATTACTACCACAGTACTCCCAAATACTCTATTTTTCTAAATTCTATTTAGAAAAAAAAAGAAATATTATTGTTCAGTAGTCCTAGAACACTCCTTAAGTGATAAGACTAAATAATTTAGGGGCACCCGGTTGACTCAGTCAGAGGAGCCCACAACTCTTGACCTTGGGGTCCTGATTTCGAGTCCTACATTGAATATAGAGATCACTAAAAAATAAATAAACTTTTAAAAAAAGGAGAGATATGGGGTGCCTGGGTAGCTCAGTTGGTGAAGCATCTGCCTTCGGCTCGAGTCATGATTCTGGGGTCCTGGGATCGAGCCCCACATCAGGCTCTCTACTCGGTGAGGAGTCTGCTTCTCCCTCTGCCTCTCCACTGCTTGTGTTCTCTCTCTCAAAATAAATAAATAAAAATCTTAAAAAAAAAAGAGAGATAATTTAGTGAGTGTCCATTTGTATACTAAATTCTTTGGCAAAGTAGGGACCTCCTTGGCCAGGCAAACGGCTGCCTCAGGGCCTGGCTTGCTGGAAGAATTTCCCTGGCCAGGGACCCTTCAGGTCCCACATGGAAAGAACCATGGTGAGGAGGGTGTGCTGTATCACTCTGCAAGCCTTCTATCAGGGCTAGAGCCAGGAGAACCTAGACTCTGAGAAAATGGGGACCTTGGTTTTGCTCTCAACTCTATCCCTGCTGCCTGGAACCGCAGGCACACAGTAGGCACTCCACGAGCATTTGTAGAGTGACGGACACTTGGGCTGTCACTTAGGGATTCAGCAAATCTGGACCCTGATGCCAAGTGTGGGATTTTATGGTGACAACCCCTTTAAAACCTTCACTGGCTGATGGTCAGTTTCCTCTTTGTTGACTCCAGTTGCTAATGCATTCACTGGTGCCAGAAATGTTGTCTGGTCGGCATGGGCTTTGAATATTAAGTCTGTTCAAGGGAACTGCTGGGCCTGGGACTTCCAGTGGCCTGGCCCAGTCTTGGGGTGGGGGGTAAAGGTGGAAACCTGCAATGCCAAGTACATGACATGGCAACAGGTGAATGCCCTTGAAGTTTGGAGAGATTATCACATCCCATTATCACACTTGCCTCATGCAAGTGCTAACGACCCAGCGACTGGGGTGTCCCTAATTTCTCCGGCTTCTCTTAAATACCCCTGTTCCAAAACCAGTGAACCACAATTTTTAAACTAGTAATTTAGTTCTAGAAAAAGCAGGGAATATGGCTGCAAGATTCTCAATTGTTTGAATCTCTGATTTCAGACTGACAGGGTTTCATACATGTGCTGTTGTTTCCTTTTTTTTTTTTTTTAAGGATTTTATTTATTTATTCATGAGAGACACAGAGAGGCAGAGACACAGGCAGAGGGAGAAGCAGGTTCCGTGCAGGGAGCCCAATGCGGGACTCCATCCCGGGACTCCAGGATCACACCCTGGGCCAAAGGCAGATGCTCACCCACTGAGCCACCTAGGAACCCCTCTTTTTTTTAAGGATTTTATTTGTTTCCTATTCATTTTTAAGGTGGCCACCTGGAATCACAATGAATCTTTCTCTCCTAACCATAAGTGTTTCAAAGAACAGGGGGCACATTTTAATTTCCTGACCCCAAGTTTCCTAAAGCTCCAGCTCTTGGAGGACAGGGCTGGAGCCTCCAGAGATGACTGGTAGCATGGCACAAGCCCCTAGCCCCCCAGCCTGGGCCCTGCTCTCTCTCTGCTGAATCCATGCTTTAGGGATTCTGTAATTTGCAAATCCTCCGTCCCTTTGCTAGTTTGGGGATAATTAAGCCCCTTTGGGTGGGTGTATCAGATACACATTCTAGCAAGTTCAGTAATAATGACCCAGTTGATTGACAGGACAGTTGACTGTCACGGAATCCAAAGATTCCGTTCTGTCACTGGAACCTGGGATTTTAAACAACAGCAGACTTTCCCCATCTTCTGTTTTTCTTCCAGATGTGCTTGCTTCAGTTTTCTGCTTCTTTCTCTGCAAACCAGCTTCCTATTTCTCCAACAGATCCAAGTTTTACATGTCCCAGGTCCATAAAACCATTCTTTCAGTTTCTCAGACCAACAACTACTCCTTGAGTGTCTCATCGGGCAATCCTGTTGGCCTGTCTTCAACATACATCCATAATTAAACCACTCTCCCCGGGATCCCTGGGTGGCTCAGCGGTTTAGCACCTGCCTTTGGCCCAGGGTGTGATCCTGGGGTCCCCAGATCGAGTCCCACGTCAGGCTCCCTGCATGGAGCCTGCTTCTCCCTCTGCCTGGGTGTCTGTTTCTCTCTCTCTCTCTCTCTCGTCTCTTATGAATAAATAAAATCTATAAAAAATATGTTTTTTTTTAAATGAATCCTGGGAATCCCTGGGTGGCTCAGCGGTTTGGCGCCGGCCTTTGGCCCAGGGCGCGATCCTGGAGTCCTAGGATCGAGTCCCACGTCGGGCTCCCGGCATGGAGAGCTCTTCCTGCCACTGCCCCGGGCAACCAGGACTCCTCCCCAGAAGCTGTGTTGATGATGATGATGATGATGATGATGATGATGATGATAATGATAATAATAATAATAATAATAATAATAATATAGCTTTGACTTTTTGACACTCCGTGGTGCTTTCCTTATGTGTCAATTGTAAGTAAGTCCAGAGACTTGAGGCAGTCTAGTCTTTGTACAAGATCATAGCAAGTCTAGAAAAGACATTTTAAGAGCCAAAAAGTGACCTCGGAACATTTCGAGGGCTTTATCACAGTTCCGGACCCCGTGACAGGGGTTCCTAGTCCATAGCAACTTTTCTTAAAATCTTTGTTTCACAGCTGTGACATCCCCCACCCCCCCGCGGGCCCTGTCGCCTCTGCGCCGCTGAGCCCAGGACACAGCAGCGCCACCGCGTCCCGGAACCGCAGCCGCCTCGGCTGAGAATGTCCACTCAGGACTTGAGGTAAACTGGCCAGGGCCGCTCCGGGCCGGGTGTCTGTGGTGACAGCGCAGCAGTCGCCTGCTCGTCCAGACTCCTGAGTCCAGGTGAGAAGCAAGCCAGACTCAGTTTCCCCTAGTAAACAAAACATACATGTAAAATTTCTAATTGTTTGAACTGCGTCTTCTCAGGTCACAAAATTCCAGTCACACCTCTGTTTGCACAAAGTTGCTTGTTTGTTCAGGTGTCAGAGACTCTATTATCTGTTCTTACTATTTCCAGGTAATCTACCTGCAAATATTTTGCTCACAATCTGCCCCTGGCTTGAAAAGATAAGAAAATATCACTGGGTTCCAAGGAGACTGAGGAGGCTTGATCTTCTGTCTTCAGTCTCCCATACTCCAGGACGAGGGGCTCACGTTACGCAAAGCGTGGCTTTATTTTACTTTTGCTGGAATCAGACCATCTCAGCACTTTAGCCCGGTGACCTTGTGACGACTACAAGCCCTCACTGACAAAAACGTGTGTTCTCTTATTATAGATAAGAGCTACCATTTACCACGTGCAGTGACTTTTAATCCTCACAAAATCCTTTGAGGCCAGTTTTACAGAGGGGAAAACAAAGGGCCAGAGAAGAGGGGTGACTTGTTTAAGTGAACAGCGTAGCCGGATTCAAATTCTATCCTGCTTGAACTTCAGCCTGAAATAAAATAGCAGCCTGGTGGAGAACTTGTCCACACGTGGCTCTGAAGGTAGGGACCTGCCAGACAACAGGCCCTTGGTGGAAGCTCTGAGGAGAGCTGAGGACTGCCTGCATCTGGCAGGGCCCCAGGGGACAGAGTTGGCACTCTGGGCCTCCTTCCCAAAAGCCTTTTCGGCATCCTAGCCTGAGGATGTATTCCCTGGGGAGAGTTAGGACAAGATGTCTCAACCCTGGTGAGTGCAATGCCCCTGGGGGCCAGGCCAAACACCCCTGCCCCCAGGCCCTCACCTGTCTCTGTAACTGGTCCTGGGGGAGGGGGGGAGGCCCAGGCTGGCCTTAGGAGGTGCTGCCTTCGGTGGGGGTCTCTACTGTGGAGCTGAAGCCCCAGGAGGGGCTGCTCTTCCTGTTCCTTGCCCCCCTCCCCACTCCCACCCACCTGGCTGGGTGCCACCTTCTGCAGTCAGCCTCCCTCCAAACCCCTGCGTCTCTCATTCCTCAGTCATTCTGTGGCCTCCTCCTCCTCGCCGCCTAGTGTCACAGCAAAACTCATCAATGGAGGTGTGGCAGGGCTTGTTGGGGTGACCTGTGTGTTCCCCATCGACTTGGCCAAGACTCGGCTGCAGAACCAGCATGGAAAAGACATCTACAAAGGAATGTATGTACTGGGGAGGGGACTGGGGTGCATAGGGAGAGGGGGGCCCTGGGGAGGGATGTGGGGCCTCATCCCTTCCAGTCTCTATCTAGGAGTGCGGACATTGTGGGGTGGAGTGGGGTGGGGTGTGCCCAGCAGGGTTAGGGCACCAGGTTGGGGTGGGGGACTGATGCAACAGCCACCGCTCACCACTGACTTCCTTTTCTGCCCTCTGCTTCTAGGATAGACTGCCTGATGAAAACTGCCAGGGCAGAGGGCTTCTTGGGCATGTACCGAGGTGGGTGGGCTTATCATGTGTCCTGGGGGGGAGGCCTGCTTGGGCCAGAGGAGAAAAGACGGTACAGCCCATGGTACCCTGGCTTATAGAACATTGGGAAATGGTATTTTCTTTTGCCCAGGGAGCTCCTGGGGTGGGGCCTGGGCTACCAGGTGATCCAAAGCGACATGTGCTTTTCACAAGCCCTCTTGTTCCTTGGTGGAGACAGAGGCAGTTATGGTGAGGTTTTGGGGCGGCATCAAGCCCCGGTTTCCATTCTGGTACTGTTACTGTCTCACTGAGTCATGCTGGAAGCAAGTGGTCTTCTGCCCCGCCCCCCACGCCCCTTCAGGGTTGTCAGGGTATCAGCCCCGGAAAGCAGAAGGGGAAGAGGCTGACAGGGAAGAGATGGAAAGGGTTTTGAGCTCCTTACAGGGAGTTACTGGGTGGCTCTTCCCTGACACTAGCCAGTGCTATCTGAGCCCCCTGCAGTGGCCCCGTCCAGGGCGCATAAATAGCCATGATTAGGGCTTGAAAATGGGTGCAAAGTTCCTTCAGTTAAGAAGGAGCTGAAATTCTAGTGCCCCTGAGAAATAGAATGAAATAAAAACTGCTGTGGCTCAAAAACTGCCAGTGGGACTGGCTAATAAAGCACAGAGGAATGGAGACTGGCCCCCCGTCCCCTCAGACCTGATTATTGGGGCCTGATTCGGGAACTGTTCACTTACTGTGGGAGATGGGCAAGATGCACAAGGACAAAAAGAACTTCCTAATAACTGCAGCCATGAGCCCATAAAGGAAACACAGGCCAAAGAAGAGGAAATGTGGAGGGAGGAGAGAAAGTAGGAAGATGAAAAAGCCTTCCATATTTCTATAAAATAGGCCAAAGAGCCCTCCTCAACATCCCTCCCCGACTAGACCCCAATTACTCCCAGAAACCTGCCTGGCTAGGTCTGAGAATAGGTTGTCTACATGTGTGGCAGACTCAAAGAATTGTGAATTTTAAGTAATTTATCTTTAAGTAAACTCTACACCAAACATGGGGCTCGAACTCACAACCCTGAAATCAAGAGTTACAGGCTCCACTGAGTGCACTAGCCAGGTAACCCAAGAAGTGTTACCTTTGAGATGGCCTTAACCCGTCCTCGTTTTCTCCTTCCAGGGGCTGCAGTGAACTTAACCTTGGTCACTCCAGAGAAGGCTATCAAGCTGGCAGCCAATGATTTCTTTCGGCAGCTGCTAATGGAGGATGAGTATGTCCGGGGGTGGTGGCGTGGGGTGGAAATCCCACACACTGTGGGGGACAGGACAGGGGGAGGACTGTGCCATTTACCTGTCTGTATGTATATGAATATGTGCACACAAATGGTGGAAGGTTAGTGTACGTTTTGGCAAGTGGAAAGTGAAAGGAGAGAATGAGCTGCTATAATGTGAAAGTTCTTTTTTAAAAATTCTTTTTTTTAAAATTCATTTATGATAGTCACAGAGAGAGAGAGAGAGAGAGAGAGAGAGAGAGGCAGAGACACAGGCAGAGGGAGAAGCAGGCTCCAAGCACCGGGAGCCCGACGTGGGATTCGATCCCGGGTCTCCAGGATCGCGCCCTGGGCCAAAGGCAGGCGCCAAACCGCTGCGCCACCCAGGGATCCCTATAATGTGAAAGTTCTACGTGACAGACAGACCATTATAGACTAGACGTACATTCATCAACTAGCTGATGAACATGTTTCTTTCATTTTTTATTGAGATATCCCTGCAGTACAACACTGTGTAAGCTCGTACAGTGTATAGTTATGCATCGTATAATGACTTGATACACAATTTACCACGACGAGTTTAGTTAACATCCATCACTTCATGCAGTTACCCGAAGAGTTGTTTTTTCCTTGAGATGAGAACCTTTAGGATCTGTTCTCTTGGCAACTATCAAATGTAGTGTAGAGCAGTGTGACCCATTGTCATCATGCTGCATTCCATCCCAGTGCTTATCTTATAACTGGAGCTTTGTGCCTACAGAGCACCTTCCCCTAATTCCTGTCCCAGGGAGGGCTTGATAACCACAAATCTCATCTCTTTTTCTGTGACTTTGATTTTTTCTGGATTCTGCATGTCAGTGAGATCACTATTTGTTTTTCTCTGACTTATTTCTCTTAGTATAATGCCCTCAAAGTCCATCCATGTCTCAAATGGCAGGATTTCCTTCTGCTTTATGGCCGAGTAATATTGTATGGTGTATATACACGTTTTCTGTATCCATCCAACTGCCCATCAACACACAGGCTGTCTCCGAGTTTTGGCTGTTGTGAACAATGGTGTAGTGAATGTGGGGGTGCAGATAGCTCACCGATTCCATCTCCTTTGGATGCACACCCAGTAAATGGAATTGCTGGATTGTAGGGGAGTTCTGTTTTTAATTTTTTGAGGAAACTCCCTACTGTTTCCCAAGTGGCTTCACCAATTTACTTTTCCACCAACAGTGCACAGGCTTCCCCTTTCGTGACAGCCTTGCCAGCATTTATCACCCTTAAAAAAAAAAAAAAGTGTTTATTTGTGAGAGAGAGACAGTGGGGTGGTGCGGAGAGACAAAGAGAATAAGAGAAAGAGAAAGAATCTCCAGTGGACTCCCCACTGAGCATGATGCCCAGTGCTGGGCTTGAACGCAGGACCTTGACATCATGACCTGAGCTGAAACCAAGGGTCCACTGCTTAACTGACTGCACCACCGAGGTGCCTTATTGTGTCATTTTGATACCAGCCATTCTTTTTTTTTTTTTTTTTTAAAGATTTACTTATTTGTCCATGAGAGAGAGAGAGACAAAGGCATAGGCAGAGGGAGAAGCAAGCTCCCCATGGGGACCTCAATACGAGACTCGATCCTGGGACTCCGGGATCTCCCGGGATCGTGTCCTGAGCCGAAGGCAGACACTCAACTGCTGAGCCACCCAGGTGTCCCAATACCAGCCATTCTGACAGGTGTGAGGTGCTATCTCACTGTGGTGTGGATGTGCATTTCCCTGATGGTTGGTGATATTGAGCATATTTCACGTATCTGTGGTCATTGGAATATCTTCACTGGAAAATATCTTTTCTGGTACTTTACCTGTTTTTTAATTGGATTATTTGTGGTGAGTTTTGTTTTTACTATTGAGTTGTAGGAGTTCTGTATCTATTGGGTATCAACCTCTTGTCAGACGTGTGATGTACAAGGCTCTCCCCCCACACAGGCTGCCACTTCATTCTGTTGGTGCTTTCCTTTGCTCTGCAGGAGCTTTTCAGTTTGAAGTGGCCGCGCTTGTCTCTTCGCTCATGTTCTTGTGCTTTAGGTGACCCATGTTAAAGAGCTACCCCCATGTTTTCTTCTAGGAGTTCTATGGTTTCAGGCCTTACATTTAAGTCTCTAATCCATTTGAGTTCATTTTTGTGAGTTGTCTAAGCTCGGGGGTCTACTTTCACTCTTTTCCAAGTGAATGATTTCTCAGCACAATTTATCGAGAAGACTGTCATTTGTCCACTCAGTGTTCTCAGCTCCCTCATCACCTATTAGTTGAGTGTCTCTATTTCTGGGTTTCCAATTCTGTTCCCTTACTCTGTGTGTCTGTCTCTATGTGGGTTTTTTTTAAAATGTATTTATTCATGAGAGAGAGAGAGAGAGAGAGAGAGAGGCAGAGACACAGGCAGAGGGAGAAGCAGGCCCCATGCAGGGAGCCCAACATGGGACTTGATCCCGGATCCCCAGGATCAGGCCTTGGGCCAAAGGTGGCGCCAAACCCCTAAGCCACCCGGGCTGCCCATATGTGGGGTTTTTAGAAATCAACCCCACACACTTTCTAGAATGTTCTGTGCCACCACCCCCCCCCCCCCCGTTGCCCTTGAGATACTGTTCAAGGGGTCAGGGACAATCCAATCCCTGCAATAGGTAGTTTCAACCTTGATGAAGGTGCTACCTCCCTGGCAGCCTGCTTTAAATTCAGTTTCATGTTTTAAGGAGGCTGAGTCTAAGCACCAGGTGATGACTCACCCCACCGGGTGAGCAACAGCCAATCTGAATGAGGCTAAACACCATGCACAGAAGGTCCTAACCAAAAAAAAAAAAAAGAGGTCCTAACCACCTTGGGACTTTGGTGGGTGGACCAGGGTAGGGTGGCAGGGCTGGCCTGTCACTGAAGGAGCCTAACTCATGGTCCCACAGGCTGCAGCGGAATCTGAAGATGGAGATGCTGGCCGGATGTGGAGCTGGAATGTGCCAGGTGGTGGTTACCTGTCCCATGGAAATGCTCAAGATTCAGCTGCAGGATGCTGGGCGCTTGGGTGAGGCCGATCCTGACTTCACATGGGATTAACAAAGGGCTGTGATCACAATACATTTCTCTATATTCTGCACTCATTTCTAAACTGTGTGATTTAGTTAGCTTTCCAGTCAGTAAGAGTCTTTTTTTTTTTTTTAAGATTTGAAAATTAAAAAAAAAAAAAGATTTGAAAAATTTCAAAACTAATCTGTACACCCAATGTGGGGCTCAGACTCACAACCCTGAGATCAAGAGTTGCATACTCCAACTGAGCCAGCCTGATGCCCCTATAAGTCTTTTTATTTTATGGTTACTATTCTAGATTTCAATACTCCCAGTTCTAGAACAAATAGCAGAAATGAGAAACTTGATCCACAGGGACAGAAAACACCCCAATACCTCTATCACATCATGGTGACCTTTAGGCTTGAGGTGCCAACAGCCTGCTCACAAACACTTCAGTGGATACCATATGCTCTGGAAGGCTGGCCTGTAGAGGGAAGGAATAATAAAGGACAGGAGAACCATTTCTGTTCTTTCTGTTTTCTGGAAGAGAATTTTTTGTTCCTTTCCTAAATCCTGGTCCTGGTCCTCTCAAATACAGAATGCTATAGGAACCAAAGCATGTATTAAGAACCACGGGGAGCAGCCTAGCAGAAGGGAGGCCAGCCCCATGAGGTGGGATGGGGGCTTCTCTTTGGAGGTAATTGCAGTACCTACATTAAATAAGCCAACGTGTGGTGTGCCTAAGGCGGCACCTGGCCAGGTCCTCCAGCCCACGATTGCACTCACGTCATGTTAGAACTCAACCAGCTTTCTAGGTTGGGTCAGAATCACCTGAAGTACATCAAACTGCAGCAAGAATAAGGCTTGGGCCCTGGGAAGCCCCTGTGTTGTGATACACAAAGAGTAAAAGCTCTGAAACATTTTGTTTTTTGACTCGGGTTAGTGTTAGTATTCTTAAATCATGTAAAAAGAAGAGAAAGATGGGCTATGAGTGAATGGATGAATGACGTCCATCTAGAGCAAGTGATGGGGAGAACAGCGTTCACTGGTGAACGACCCAGCTCACTGTTGCTAGGACGCTATTGCCATCACCAGCTGCTCAGCGTGAGCTATTGCCCTGCTGGCTACCACAGAAAACGGGGACATGAAATCACTTCCTTTGAGCAAGGGCTTAGAGTCTAGACAAAGCTTCTCAAAGTGATGAGAATTATATTCACACAATTTCCGTGCATTGAATCCTGCGGTCATTGATGGGACTCACCCACAGCAGAAATGCTGTGCTTGAAATATTTCTTAGGTGTTGACCATATTAAGTGATGGGTTCTGAATTATTCAACTAAAATGAAAACTCAGATTCTACAAAATGATACAAAATACAAAATACATAAACGGCTGCCCAAAATGGGCTGGGAGGCGGGAGGCACACTTTATTCAGTAGGCAAAAGTAGGACTGCGATGCCCCAAGTGCCAGCAGACAAAGCTGTGTGAGTAGGCTCAGAGGTGGTTTAGACATGGAAGCCAGATGGAGAACACAGCTCTAACAAGAGGATAAGAAACTGGCGGCTGGAGCAGGTGTTGCTCTAGTTCCCTATTATGGGGGCTGCACGGGCCTTGGGAAGTGCCCCATGACATACCAATACACCAATACACCATACACCAATCTTAAAAACATCGCCTTAGAGCTAAAAACAAATGTTCTAAAATGAAGACAATCTGGGGCACCTGGCTGGCTCAGTGGGTGGAGTACGCAAAACTGGATCTTGGGATCCTAAGTTCGAGCCCCATGTTAGGTGTAGAGATGACTTAAAGATAAAATTAGGACGATCCTCAGAAATCTAGGAGGGGTGTCAGTGTCCCCTCTGAGCCGCAGGGCTGGGAGGCGGGAGGCACACTCCCGGGGAAGTGCTGTGCAGGCCTGCTGGGGCCTGGGTTGTGATGGGCTCTGTCCTCTCCCTTTCAGCAGTTTGTCAGGGCTCGGCCTCAGCACCTTCCTCCTCCAGGCCCTACACTGCAGGTTCGGCTTCCACCCACAAGCGCCCGTCTGCCACCCTTATTGCCTGGGAGCTACTCTGCACCCAGGGCCTGGCTGGTCTCTACAAGGGTCTGGGTGCCACTCTCCTCAGGTGAGGCTTTCCTCCTGAACGTGGGACATGGAAGGGCCCTGGGGAACGAGGACAGGGCACAGAGGGCGGGGCCCTGCTGCCCCTTCTGTCCTCGCATCCTTCCTACAACACTCAAACCCCAGAGAGCAAATGACCTCCGTGCTTCCTCTCTGGTCCAGAACTGGGCAGAACTGCGAGGACGGGCACCCGGGAGACCACCTGGAGGCCCCTCCTCCCGCAGCCAGACCAGAGGAGCACTGATGTTCTGTGACCCAGAGGTACCTTAAGGATGCTCTGCCTAAAGAGGACTTTGACCATTTATGAACGAATGAGCGCAGAGACCCCTCGTTTGACTTTGCTATCTGGCCAAAATCCTTGAAGTGGATCAGGAGTGTCCCAGGCCAGGTGCTAGTTTTCTCCCATCACCTGGTCAGTAGATAAATGAACTTCACCTTCCTGCCCGCTCCCTGCTCCCAACACTTAGCTTATATAGCTTGTCACCAGTCACTGGCTCAACCCGCTGGCTCCCACCTTAGCCCACCCGTCCTCACAGTGTGCCCCCAGTCTCTGCACCTGGGGCCCTGCAGGTGCTGGGGGCGCGGAGTGAGGCAGGGGCAGCCCCAGCAGTCCCCTTAGGCCACTGCCTGCCGCCTGTCGCTCTACACCATCACAGGGCCAGGGAAGGAGCAGTAAATGCAGGCTTATGTGACCATCAGCCAGGCCCTGGCACTTAGGGGCCTTGCGGGGGCGCCCCACAGCAGCAGGCTCAGGGTGCCCTCTTCCTCTCCTGCAGAGACATTCCCTTCTCCATCATCTACTTCCCACTGTTTGCAAATCTGAACAACCTTGGTTTCAACGAGAGGACTGGGAAGGCTTCCTTTGCTCATTCCTTTATGTCAGGCTGTGTTGCAGGTTCTGTAGCTGCTGTTGCAGTAACGCCTCTGGATGGTAAGTGCATTGGAGATGGAGGGCTTCCAGGGTCGACTCACGTCACAGATGAGGTCACCGGACAGCTGTCTGGGATACATACTAAGCTCCAACCACAAAACCCTTGTGGGTCACCACCTGTGGCCACTGGCAGAGGCTCACCAAGGGTCCCCCAGACACAGGGGCCCAGGGGACCCTTGCTCACTCTCTTACCCCTGATGAGTCTCCTCCCCTTCTGGGTGGTCTCATTAGCTTTTCCTCCCCCACTGGAGGGTTTCAACCCTGAGGCTAAAGGTGGTGGTTGAGGGGCCTGAGCAGAGCCCGCAGGCCCTACCTTTAGTGCTGCACCCAGCTCATCTATCACACCCAGCGGCCCCTTCTGCGGCCTGAGTGACCTGAAGGATTGTTTTCATTTCTGATTCATTTTATGAATGAGGCCCAAAGAGAGGAAGACCTATCACCGGCCACACAGCAGCAGATCCCGCCTCGGGATTTGGTTCTGTGGATACTGGCTCTAACAGGCAACAACTTCATGTTGGAAACATTCACCTCTTTTTTTAACTCTTGTTTTAGTTTTGAAAACTCGAATCCAAACACTGAAAAAAGGCCTAGGAGAGGACACCTACAGTGGGATCACCAACTGCGCCAGGTGAGCACCGCAGCAGCTCTTTGGAGGCTGAGGTGGAACAGTCCCCTGGTCCCCTCCACCTCACCACACTGAGCTCTGGATTTCCTTGAAATCCGTTCCTTCCACTCACCTCTCAACAGAAACAGGATGTACTGGGAGCTTCTCTTCCTTCACATCCCTACAGCATCTTTCTCCCAGAGTCCAGCTGGAACCCCCTGACTTCCCATGGCCTAGACACAGCTGCTTAGTAACCAAACTGCACATATGATGGATGGGACAAGGCTTCTCATGTCTGGGAGCGTGCTCTTGCTGTGCAAACTGACATCTCTTCCATGGGAGACATGCAAATGTCAGAGGGGAGCGTATCACAATACCGTTCACCATGCGCTCTGGCCAATCGGGTAACAGGCCTCTTCTCTCCACAGGAAACTTTGGATTCAGGAGGGACCATCTGCCTTCATGAAGGGAGCAGGCTGCCGGGCCCTCGTCATCGCCCCTCTCTTCGGGATTGCCCAAGGGGTCTACTTCATTGGTATTGGGGAGCGGATCTTAAAGTGTTTTGAGTAGAGGTGGCAGGAGCCCAGGCCCCTTGCTGCCAGAGCCTGTTCTACTCAGAGGGTCGAGCAGGATGGCCCATTCCTACTTTGTCCTTGTAGTGCTACCTCAGCCTCTGAAGAAACACTCTCACCCTAACAAGCGAGCTGGGTCCGGTCCCACAGCCCTTCGTGGTATCCGCGTTCATTTTCTTTGGGCCCACAGCCTCAGAAGCCTCCAGCTACCTGCTTGTCACCAACAAAAATTGTTCATGGGTGGTTTGTATTAACTGTAGGTCCTTAACACGTAGTAAAGATAGAAGGGCTGTTCTACATTTTACATTTTTACTTCACACTCAAACTCTACATACTTGTGGTTTGAGGATTTAGTTTTTTGTTAATTCTGAGTAAAATACTTAGTTCTTGCACTGATTTTGGGGAAAAGGAGGCTCAGAAGTTCAAGGGGACCATGAAAGCCCTGAGTCAGTACCTGGTCTGAAGCCAAACAAATCTTTTCAAATTGAGGATGGCTGCTGGGGGTCTAAGTGATGGTCTGGGCCAAGTCAAGGCCACTCCCGGCCCCGCCCCTCCCACTGCAGCATGGCTCACACAGAACGTCCACGCAGCACGGTTTTAAATAAAATGGATTTTAAAATGTCATCTTTGTCATCAGTGGGAGAAGCAGACGGGCTGCAGTGAATGGTTTGCCCTCTACTGTCCCATCCCTCTCAGAACCAACCTACGTCAAAACGGGCAGACACAGTTCCCACCATGGGCTCTTGGCAGGGCTGCTTGGAGCCACCGGGACGGCCACAGGGGTGCTCTCTCTTCCCACTCTGCAGGGTTTCCATCATGGCATCACCCTGCAGCCCGGTCCCCACGTGTCCCCGTTCCTCCCCAAGCTGCTGTGGAGACACTGGCAAGGTGAGGGCCTGGGCCTGAGTAACTAGGCCTGTGCCGGAGCTGGTATTCACCTGCATCCCTACCTCAGCTCTAGCATTAGGTCTGTGAGGTGGTGCGGCTCAAGAGCCATTTTCTCTACCCAGAGGACCAAGTGAGAGTGCAGGCTATAGAGACAGACCCGGGTTGGACTCCCACTCTGCTCCGCCCCGGGTTCTTAGTACTCAGTGGGGAAGAACTAAGGAGCAAGGAGATGAAGAGAAGGACCTTTGTGGAGGCGTTTGGGCCTGACCACAGTGGCCCTTCTTCCCCCAGTGAGCCCTCGATGCTCTTCTGACTCTGTCATAGAAGCTACTAAAATGATTTCTTCACTAAAGCTGTCAAAAACCCTCCAGAGGACAGATGATCCTGAACACCTGTGTGTGGTGTGCGCAAAAGATCACCTGGGCTGGGTGGACAACTACTGGAGAAGAGTCTGGTAAAAATGAGCAGGAAATGCCAGAGGACAGAGGGCTAATGGTTTCAAGCAGTGACAGCTGTCAACCAGCAAAGGCTACAGGGATTAGGAAAATGCTGCTTTTCTAGATACCTCCATAAGAACTTCACCCTCGCAAAGAGACTTGCAGTGCCTTGCATAATAAATCACAATGACATCCACGTAAACCTTTTGTTTTAATAAATAAGACATATTCATGGCTTAGGTTTTAAATCACATTTACAGATGAGGAACACTTCTAGGCCCAAACAGGTTAGCGGTGAAGCGACTACTGCTGGGAGGAATGTACGGCCCCCATGCACTTTAAGCCTAAGAGCAAAGACTTCATGTCAGAGATCACCGTACACATCCCCTCTAGGCTCAAGAACTGGAAGACTGGAGGAAGAGCAGAGACTTGGTGAAGCTCCTGTGACCACCATCTGATACCCTCACCTTCACACTACACAAGCCGAAGAAAGTGGTGCTACTTTTAGATAAGCTAAGAAGGAACTTTCCTGATTATATGAAGTGAAACTTTCTCTATTGTTAACAATTAGGATAAGGGCATTAGCTACACAGAGTATCCACTGACAAATACAGACTATGAGAACAGGGAAGAGGAAGCCACACAGATATCTCATTTCTTCAAATGTCAGAAACTTCCACACCACAGCAGGAGAGCAGTGGATGAACTCTACCTCTCCCAAAGGTTTAGTCCAAAAACTTCCTGTTGGCATTTGCACCAAATAAGGCTCCCCGTACTTCTGGCATCATCTGTGAAGAAATAAGTTTTTTAATGAGTAAGTGTTGTTAACTGGAGAATTTGGAAAGCACTGCACGTCTTTATTTATTTATTTTTAAGATTTTATTTATTTTAGGGCAGCCCAGGTGGCTCGGCGGTTTAACGCCACCTTCAGTCCAGGGTATGATCCTGGAGACCTGGGAACGAGTCCCACGTCGGGCTCCCTGCATGGAGCCTGCTTCTCCCTCTGCCTGTGTCTCTCTCATGAATAAATAAATAAAATCTCTTAAAAAAAAAAAAAGATTTCATTTATTTTAGAGAGAGAAAGAGGGAGTACGCACGGGGTGGGGCAGGGGGCAGAGGGAGAAGAGAAAATCTCAAGCAGACTTCCCACTCAGCATGGCATCCAATGTGGCACTCGATCCCATAACCCTGCCATTATGGCCTGAGTGGAAATCAGCAGTCAGATGCTTAAGCGACTGAGCCCCCAGGTGCCCCAAAACTGTGTATCTTAATTACAAGTAGCAAGCCACTGACCCCTATGTAGCCAGGAAGGAAATCATAAAGCTAAGGGCATCAAGTCTGTACCTTTACTAATCCAAAAAAAAAAAAAAAAAACTGTAACAGAATCCCTGGCAATAAACTTAACCAGTAGCTAATCTGTGGTTATGACTGACTAATGCTTAAAGGGGATGAAGAAAAAAAAACCTCAAACTAAAGCCATTATTGTTCAAGGCTTTAGTTAAACTGTAATGTAGGGAGAAGAGATGATCCCTTAGTATCACCTATGTTCTTTCTTTGAACAGTTACTGAGTGCCTACTATGCACCAAGGACAAAACACACACAGATTTGTGCTGAGGCACTTGTTCATTATGGCAACTGAAAAACCCTTATGATTTAACTTCAAATTTCTAAGGCTGTACTGTGCAATAGAGAGGCCACTGGCCACGTGTGGTTACTGTGCATCCAACATGTAGCTAGTGCAACCATGGGACTCAATTCTTAATTTTACTTATTTTTGCTTTATTCATGTGCAGGTAGTGGCCACTCTAATGGGGACACAGCTTGAGGGCTGAAGGTCTCACTCTAATAAGACAAGCCAGCTGCCCCAGCAGCAACCTACCACTGCTGAAAGAGGCCCAGCATTTTGAGACACCTGAATTTTCCTGGGTTGTTTCCTACAGTTCATTTGTACAAACCTGGAAATATCTGAAGAGCCAGCAGCCCTGTGCAGATTCCTTTAAACAATATATACTTTAGTTCTCATCATTCTTACCGGAGAAACAATTCTGGTCAGCACCTCCACATGCAATAAAATGTATACATTAGAATCCTCAATAAACAAAACCCTCGTTTGACCCCAAGTCCAGGCTCCAGTTACGGTAGCACTGCAATAAAGGCCACTGCGTGCCTACTCCCCATTCTTCTCAAGAAAACGCCACAAGATGTAGAGTGCCAAACCCCAAATACCAGCAAATGGACATATGTTCTCTGCACCACTTTGAAGTAACAGGAGATGTATTCCCATACTCACCTGCTGGGCTATGAGGTCCAGCCGGCTTTCTAGAGTATTGGAAACCTTTATTTTACGATCCCCATTATAGATCTCCACTCCACCAGCTCTACAAAGAACACAGGAAACAACAATTTTTATAGATTGTGGAGGAAGACGGATAAATGGTACATTTACCTTCTTCCCTGAGAAGAAAGCCATTTTGGTGTGTGGAGGGTCTAAACACACTACAGGGTTCAAAAACATATGCAAAAGGCTTCAAACAAATTCAGAAAGCTTCTGAAGATTTAAGGTATGCATGTTGACAATGATTATCATTTACCCAGTGACTGCTACGTGCCAATCTGATTTTATGTTATAGCACCTGTATCTCCCCAACAAAATGAAAAGTCCCAGTTTGCAAATCAATCAAGTCCCATCTGAATGTTACCTAAAGAATCCTGCCAATTACCAGGGGTACTGATAAGGCCATATTCACGACTGTACTGTGTAGCTGATTAAAGGTACCGCTGTAATCTTGCCAAACTCGCCCTGAGGAAGTCCTGGCCCCAGCATACCTCACTCCTGGCATTCCTGTTCCGAAGTTCCTAGCACTTCGAGCCTTAAGGCAGATAAGTCAAATTCTATTACAGGGAGCCTCCGGGAATGAAATTCTTTTGCTCCACGAGAATTTTATCAAATATTTCTTGAAATAAGCAGGCTATGTGACAAAGCCTGGGAAAAAGTCTTACAAATTTTCTCTGGAAAACTTTAATGGATGATGATGTTAATATTATTTTCTTAATCTATCCTCCCTCCCCCTGGCATGTTTCATGTTTTTGGTTTCTCTAAACAGACTATATCCTTCTTAAGGACGTGGCTGGCTCTTTGCTGAAATCCTCACCCCACTGTCTGTGATACAACACTCTGTTCTCACGGAGGGAGAAAGGGCAGGAAGACCACCACGTATGAGAATGTCACCTGTGTGCCAGGCGCTCGCTCCACATAAAACCCAGGGCTGATCACGGCTTCTGTATTCCCAGGAGCCCTATGGGAGTCTTGGTGGGTATCCTCACCATTTTACAAACAAGTAAACAGGTTGAAACAGACTGAATAAAATGATGACTTAAATGAATAGAACAACATTTAAAATTCTACTTTAAATCAGCACCGGAAGAAGTCTACAGCTCCTTATCTACAATTCTGAAATTCAATAAGCTGTCAGAACAAAAGTTAATTTGTGTATCTCTAAAAGCTAAACTGACCTCTAGTCATCTGGCAGCAAGTGACTAACGAACCTTTATGCGTTTATCCCTTGCAGCGTGAATGTTCCCATTCAGAAATATTAGTACCTTTGATCACCATGGGGAGTGGGGGGGGGGGGGAGGTGGCGGGGGGGGGGTGAAGCCTCAGGCCCTGCTGAGGATTTTTTTATTTTTAAGTTTTTATTTATTTTTTCATGAGAATGCACAGGGAGAAGCAGGCTCCATGCAGGGAGCCTGACGTGGGACTCGATCCAGGGTCTCCAGGATCACACCCTGGGCTGCAGGCGGCGCTAAACCGCTGAGCCACCGGGACTGCCCCCCTGCTGAGGATATTATGTCACATGTGTTATGGACTTTACTGGTTTTCTAAACCCTGGCATTCAAAACACGTGGCCCCAAAAGTTTCAAGACTGAAACTCATTTTTTTTTTTTGAAGATTTTATTTATTCATAGAGACATAGAGAGAGAGAGGGGGCAGTCCCAGTGGTGCAGTGGTTTGGCACCGCCTTCAGCCCAGGGTGCGATCCTGGACACCCAGGATCGAGTCCCACGTCGGGCTCCCTATGGGAGCCTGCTTCTCCCTCTGCCTGTGTCTCTGCCTCTCTCTCTCTCTGCATCTCAAGGATAAATAAATAAAATCTTAAAAAGAGAGAGAGAGAGAGACTAGCTTATATACCTTCTCAGTGTATAAAAGCATTTTCACATTTATGTATGATCTCATCTCCTTTCCTCACTTCATGGAAAAAAAAAATGCTGATTCCATTTTAAACATGACGGAATTCAGTCTCCAGGTCCCACAGCTAACTTTTAAAAGCCAACTCAAGACTCAAACCTAGGTCTGGTGCTTTCAACTAGGATCGCATGACCCAAGGACTTTCTGTAAGGTTAGTCCATGTGTGCCTACGCAGCATCAGACAGAAGAAGCGATCTTGGCTCTAACCCTGTCAAGAGTGCCTACTGCCTATCTCAGCTGCACCGAGCTTATCAGGGATGTTTAAGAAATGTCCTGTCATTTCCTCACGGCAGAAGTACCACTCACATTCGCAATTCTGTATCTAAGGAACCTAACTATTAGGTTCTATTAGTCTATATTGTAATCACTATCATACGTGACTACTTGTCTTATTTCTAAGAAACTCAATTATCTTCCTCACCATCTAACACAGAGATCTAGACCCAGCTTTGAATTCTGGGCAAAGAACTAGTGCTGCCCCTGCAGAATAAATTAAGTGACCAGAGGATGCTAGCTCTTTTCAGACTTTCAAAGTATGTCTGGCTGGTTAACAAGGGAGAACACAGGACTGCCAGGAAAAACAGCAAGAGTCACAAGTGGCACACAGCCACACTTGTACTCTTATGGAGAAGAGTGACTCAGAAAACCCCCACAAGACCCAGAATAAGGCCATTCTTGTATTGAAAGAAGTTTAGATGGTAAGAGCAGGAATATGCCTTACATTTCCTCAGGCAGGTAGGATTCCTGATCAATTTGGACATCAACATCTTTTTTGGTGGCAATTTTATACATAGGAATTGCTTTTTGCACTGCAGCCT